CAGATTAAGACAAGTCTTGATAACTTGGGTAGGATCTGGAGGATGGCATGGAAATGGTGAGGCAGCTGAGGAGTCAGGAATGTTTTGCCTAGAGAAACGAAGTCTTGGGTGCTGGTTTCAGGAAGAGGAAAGGTTGTCTGTGGCATGTGTTTTGGACGTATTCTGAGGATCTTCAGAAGGTGACGTGTAAATGAAATCTGCTCACTGTCAGCTTTGTGACAGCGTCGTTTCCCCACACGACATATTTCTGTTTGAATAATGTTTCAGGGGCCGTTTCCTGAACAGCTCACTCTTTGGCTCCCTTGAGGGAATGTGTCCTGTAGTCTTTCTGTCTCTCTCGGCCACCTCTCTCTCGTGCTTACACATTCCTCTGTATGGTCCCATGTACGCCAATCTTCATTGCATTCTCTGAAATAAAAGCTCATCCTACATGCTTCCTATCGCCATCATTCTTAACAGTTACCCGGAGTTAACAAATAGATACCATGACCCCTAGCACCACGACCTCCACAGGAATGAGCAGTCTGAGCCAAAATGCATGAAGAGGTCAGAGGGGCCACTGAACTGGGCATCTGAGATAATACTGATCCCCAACCTTATTAGCACCTACCTTGCCCAGGCACCGTGCTGAAGGTCCTGCATGCATTTACTCATTTAATCCTCAAAATAATGGAGGCCGATAATTTTATTATCCTCACTTTATAGATGGGGACACTGACAGTCAGAGAGGTTAAATCACTTGCCTGAGAAAACTCCAGCAGTCTGACAAATCTTTACTACGTCCTGGATAAAACTAGAGTCTGCCGAAAGGTGAAAGGCTGAGTGTGTGCATGGAATACAGGACCACCAGGACCCAGTGGTGGGGGAAGAAGAGACAGCCTGTGCCAGGAGAAGTGTGCTCCGGGAGGGAATAAATGGAGGGGAGCACAGATAGAGTGAAGACAGATCCTGTGGGAGCAGAAAGGGCGATTGGACAGACAGCCTTGGGAGCCGTACTTTGTCCGGTCTTTCTCCACTTTGTTAAAATTTGCTTCTTCCTGATATTTTTATCGGCATTTTCAATTATGTGGAATTGCAGAGTTGCTACATATACTCTGTGTAGACTTATCCCAGCTTATGTGGAGTTTGGGGATACGGCTTAAGTGAGGTTTTTCTAGATTTTTCTCACTCCACACGAGTGCTAAATGGCTATCTCCCTTTGTTCCACCCGGGAACAGCAATCATGTGGCACGGCCGTGGGCAGGGAAAACAGAAAGATGCCTTGGTCTGATCCCCTCTCTCTACCCCAATCACGTAAACTGCCTCCAGAGTTGGGCAAATGTAAATGCTGAGCCTCAGGGAAGCAGGGTCTAGAAGAAATATTTTGGTAAAAGAATCTATAGTATTTTACCCCTTTCCATACACATTGGGCAGATTCCTATTTCCCAAGCTGCCTACAGAATATCTATTTGGAGTAGAAAGCAGGAAGCGAGGCTGCCCACTTTGCAGTTTCAATTTTTGTGTTGACGTAATTAAAAAAAGAGAACACATATTTTTAATCTGTGTATACTGGATATTCTCCATTGGCCCCTCAATCGACCCTCCCCCTGTCCTATGGGCTTCCTGGAGGGCACTCCCATGTTCCCTGCTCCTGGATTACAGCTGGGTTTGGCCAATGGGAGGAACAGGCAGAAGAGTAGAGAGATGAAGGAGACGTCCTCCAGGAATTAGTCCCTCATTCCCTCACCGCGGTTTGGCTGTAGCCGTGCTCCCGGCTTAAGGCCACAGCTCCCGTTGGGGGGCATCTCCTCCGGCTCTCCCGTGTCCCTTTCAGCCTGGGAGTGGTAACAGCTTCCAAGAGATCCTGTACCATGCTTGCCGATTCCTTTCACCCTGCCCACCCTCTGTAAAATTCCTTTCATTCAACAGTCCTCAGTTACCCTTTGAGTGTGCCATCTCTTTCTGCTGGAATCCTTGCTGATATATTTGACTTGACAGATTTTAAAAAATGAAACATGTGGATCACAGAATCAAACCACTCAAATTGACCTTTAATAGTACATACATTTTGTAGGAAATAAATAATTCAAGAAAATTTACTTATAATAATTTAAAAAATAACAAAAGTTAGTTACCAGAAAAAAAAAAGAGAGTAACTTTCTGAAATAAAAATTAATGCCCAATACATGGCCTTGGTCCCATGTGTAAAGCAGACCATAGCTTTTATGAACTGCTAAAATAATATTTCCATAGTATGTATTTCAGGTGATCAAATGCTTTGTAAATTATAAAAAAATCAATTATGATGCTGTTAGGTAATTGGAGGTATGTCATAGACGTGCACTCGGAGAGGAGATCCGGCGGAGTTAAGAGTTCGCTGCAGGCAGACAGTCGTCCAATGCCCGAGTCTCAACACTGCCTGCATGAGCAGGACTACAAGCTCAAGACTGCGCTCTGTGAACGGCTCAAGAAGGGGCTCTTCCTCAATTCACAAAACCAGCAGATTTGCCTAAGTGACAGAAATAAAATTCTGCTGAAGTGCAAGCTCATTGTCTTCCCCTGCCTTTCAAAGTCCTCAAATTCTAAACCTGAATATGTTGTTTTTCTTAATTCAAGTCAGAGCTGATGTTGCATTAGCATGCTGTCAAAGTGCTCGACACGAGCAGGCAGGGGTGCCAAGCACTTAACTGACACCAGGAATGCGGTGATGTAGGTGGCAGGCGCCCTCCCCGAGGCTCAGGGCTTGCAGCCTCTCCAGCGTGGTGGTCTTGGGTTGGTGCGGTTTCTAGCGCTCCTGTCTGGCTGTAGGTTGGCATGGGTCCAAACCACTTTGAGATTCCAGTCTTTTGGAGGCTTTCTGTAGCTTCTAAGCAAACTCAGGTCCCTATCAGGCCTCTGGGGATTCAAGGCCACAATTTAGTTCCAGAATTTCCCAGCTCTCTCTTGGGAAAGACGACCTGGGGCCACAGTGACCCATCCAGGAACAATTCAGCTCAGAACACAGGGCTCTGGCCCACCCATTTCTGGACACCTGAAGTTGCGGCTAGCATTCTGAGGTGAACACTCACTAGTTTCTTTTTCCCTTTTCATTCCACTGACCCTTGAAGGCAAGGAATAAAATGCAGGTCTCCTTTCATCACAACTCAGTTCTCTAATATACCAGGCTAAGTTCCGTGTGTTTTATTTAACTTGAAAATGAGTCATTAAACTTACACAGGTAAGTCTGATGTGATGCACTTTTTGGAAAGGAAATATTTACATATCTAATCTAAGTAATTTTTTCTGTTACCTTTAAATTGCCATTAATAGTAGGCGATTTACTTTCAGTTCTTTCTATGTATATATCAGTGCAACTGAAATAACAGAATTTAGTCATTTTACACAGTGCAAGGAACAGGAGCTCATGAGGAAACTAAGCTCTAGAAAGCCACCAGTTCTTAAATAAATGGCTTAAACTCTTATATTTTGGGCCCCAAGCGTGAATCATTTTGTTCCCACTAGTGATATTATGTCCAAGTTTGCTTTTTTTAAAGGTCGTAGGTATTATTTCAGAATTTGGGGGGGTTGTGAGGTGCAGCGAAGGATTGTAGTTAACATTTTCATTTGGAGGGAAAAAAAGTCATTGATAAAAGTAATCAACCTTCCAGAATCAAAGGAACTTCAGAATTTTATGTTTAGGAATTACCCATGAGCCTAATTCGTCCTATTTAAAACAATTTCTTAACTTTAGAATTCTTGGTGGACAGGGAAGATTTATTTACATGTCCAGATTTTAGTTAAGTTAAATTTTGCCTGGTTTGTTTAAATTAGTGAAAAAGCAAATCGTTTGTTTATTCTGTTTAAAATAAGAGCTGATTTGACCTAGATTGTTTGTGTCATGGTACACTGAGGCTTAGATTGGTCTGCATTTGCTCTCAGTGATCAGCAGGTTGATAATTACTATAGGAAATGGTTTTACGTAAGCAACCCAATGGGACTTTGAAAAGAAAATAACATCCCTTTTCGGTTTTTGCAACAGCTATTCTGTAATAACACTTACTGCAAAAAAATAATAATAACAATGTGGTTCTAGTATTTTGAAGATCATGCAGTAAGGAAAATAATCCTCTAATACCAAATACTAATTGAATATTATAAACTCTAATTTACAACACAACCACACTTTTAAAACCTGCCAAATTAAACATATTTTTTCCACTTTTACCTCACTTAAAAAAAATACTGTATCTACACTATAAAACGTTATTTGGGGGAATTCATCAAACACTATTCCATTTTCAAATTTTTGTTTTATAGTTTATTTTTGTAACATTTCAGGTGAGTTTACACAGTAACTAAGATATGATTAAACAGTGCAAATTCACTGAAATATTTTGATGCTGAGTTTACACTATGCCAAACATTTAGATTTAGAAATACATTAAGATATGACTCATATGATTTCCTATATAGTAGGAGTCAAATCATTTCCCCAGTTAAAATATAGACATTCGAATTTCGCTACAACACAGTCATCCTATAAGGCAGATGTGAGTGATTAACTCAACTCCAGCATTAAAAGAATTCTAATGTATCTGAAGAACTGACCAGATTTTTCAGTTTTTAATCCTATTATTTGGCTTTAGACGTAGCCACATACATCCTCCCCCAGAAACAGAATGAAGAGTATTAATCAGAATTAACTCTTCATATTCTGTTATTTCTTATTGAGAGGAAAATTGCTAAAGTATTCTTGATTACTATTAGCACAATGCACATTATAAAATAAAAAACCTAGCACTGATACATAGCTTCTGGGAGTTAGTGAAAAAGCTGACGTTAACCAACTGAGCCCACTCTTCTCAGAGTCATACTGCAGTGACGAAACAGCACCCCACAGACACAGACATCGCAGTCTAAGTGCCTGTGATTTTCAACCTGGATTCCAAAGAAAAGATTTGTAAGGCAACCACAAGACACTGGGCTTGGTTGCTCCCACATGTCGACTTTCTAGAGAATACATACGAAGCTCTATCTGGTCTGACTGTACACTGTATATTTAATATGGTAGTAGCATAGAAGATTAAAATAGAAAACACAGTAAGTATTTAAGGTTTTAAGCAAATTACAAAACCACATGCTTTCTCCTTCAACGGGAAAGCTTAACTCAAAAGGCAACTGGATCGTAAATGCAGTAAGTTGTTCCTCTAAAGGCTGTATAACATGCTCATTGAGGGTAGGTTTTATAGATCCTCTGACACCTTCCACGAAGTGACTTGTCAGCACATCTGTAGCCCAAACCACTGTTGAAATATTTGTTTACTCTGTTTTATTAGGGTAGCTTCATTTTGTTTATAAACTAACATTTTTGATTTCTCCAGGGAACCATTTCAAAATGATCTTCCAGATGCTGGCTAACTAAGCACTTCTTCGCTACTGTCCACAAAGGTCAGGCTGTTTACTGGCATTAAGACTCTGTGGAACAGGAAGTCTGCGCTGCCTCTTGTGTTCTCAATGAAACCCGACAACAGAGGACTGAACGCATTAGTCTCAGCACAGGAGGCCTAAGGATGGCAAAGACCCAAGGGTCGATAATTGAATTAATTGCTAAAAACCTAAGAGCTTGGAGGTCCCACTTTTCTCTTCGGGAAAAGGTTTCATCCATATACGCGAAAATCTGTAAAAAGCAAAAGGGAAAAAAGATGTTAATTTTACATTGTAGCGGACAGGCTTAGACTGTGCAGTTTCCTAAGACAAAAGCAAACCATGTTTTTGTGTGCTAGTGGTGGTGAAAGGCGGGTAGTAAAAATCTCAGTCTTCTCCCACGTCTGAATCATAATGAAGGAAATCATGTTTTCTGTGATTACACCTAACATTAATACCAGGTGCAATGTCCTGGTCTTGTCATTGGGAATGGAGGGAAATGAGTGCACTATTCTTGGCACGAAGAATTCTTTTAATAATAACAATAATGATAATATTAGTAGCTCCCACTTACCAATAATCTGATATACGTGTCATGAATTGTACTGGGGACTAAACACACTTTATTTCTACTCTGAAACAGAAGTATAGTCTCCGTTTTTTTCTTTTTTTTATGAGGACTATCAGCCCTGAGCCAACATCCATGCCAATCCTCCTCTTTTTTGCTGAGGAAGACCAGCCCTGAGCTAACACCTATTGCCAGTCCTCCTTTTTTTTGTTTTTTGTTTTCCTTTTTTCTCTCCAAAGCCCCAGTAGATAGTTGTACGTCATAGCTGCACATCCTTCTAGCTGCTGTACGTGGGACGCAGCCTCAGCATGGCCGGACAAACGGTGCGTTGGTGCGCGCCCTGGATCCGAACCCGGGCCACCAGTAGCAGAGCGCACGCACTTAACCGCTAAGCCACTGGGCCGGCCCCTACAGTGTCCTTTTGACAGATGAGGAAGTGAACATTAGTAAATTTAATAATAACATGTTCCATGTACTTCCAAATACTTAATCTGATTTAATTATGACAATTCAGCGAGAGAGGGTACACAACAGAATGTCATTGGTGGGAACACGGGCTCTGGCTGTTGGACTGCCTGAGTCTGAATCCTGGCCTTGTGTACAGTTTTGGGACCACAGGTAATAAAAGTAACCTCTTAGTGCCTCGGTTTCTACATCTTTAAAATGGGCGATAATAATAACAATACCTACCTCAGTGGTTGTTGGGAGGATGAGAGGAAGTGATATGTGCAAGCACTTAGAACAGTGCTCACTTGGTAAGAGATCCACAATGTTATTGTTCCCATCTCCACTTTACCACCGAGGACACCTCGGTGCAGAGAAGGGCAGTGACTTGCCAGGTTCCCAGGGCTGGTTAGTGCCCGAGTCAGGACACAAATTCCGACTCCCTCCGCACCAGTGCAGTGCTCACCATGGGCTACATCTGGGTCGCCCAGATTAGAGCAAAGGTCTTCAGAACAATGTCCTAAATACTGGAAAGCTGAAGTGTCTACACAGTGACCAATGTTGTCACTGGAATACCAGCTCTCATCTGAGTCCTTAGATATTTACGGAGCAACACAACTTTTTGGTTAGATTGAAAGGAAGGGAATACTATATGCTCAATAAAGATCAAACACTTCCACACAGTTTACAGAAAAGAGGAAAACAAGTGTCAATCACACCCAGTCATTTAAAATCCGTTCTTCTGTGCTCCCCGGACTTCCTCACCCGTGGCAGCCCGAGAGCCGGTGAGCCACTCCCTCTATCCACTGCCTTCGCCAGAAGAAGGAAGGGTTATTTCCTGTCCCTGGGACTCACTCTGCATGCATCTGGCAACTGCATGTACAAAGCAAATCACAGCGAGGGAGGGAGAAAAGTCGTCATCTTCAGGCTGCTTATGTTGCAGCAATGGCAGGAAAGTTTGGCCGCCACAGGTGTTTATGCCAGAGAATCTTGGCGCAGGGAATGGAGAAAAGACTTGGCAGACGAGTAAGGCAAAAGAAGAAAAGAAGAAATCAGGGTTTCCTTGATTACGGAGAGAAGAGTTAAGTAGGGATGCACGATAGAGCAATAATTTTCTTGTCAGCTGAACTGTTTCGGATGAGAAATATACAGTACTTACACAGTGTATTTAAGGAGTGATTTTTAAGTTTAGAAATTCAGAATACTAGTGTACATAAGTCTGATAGATTAAAATATATTAGTTACATTAGACACACATACACGTAACTGAGCTCTCTGTTGTAGAAAAAGTTTGTAGCCGAGTTTATGATCTAGTTTCACCGAAGAATCAACACTGCTTTGGCCAGCCAAAATAGGCAGTGAACCCAGGGCTCAGCGTTCTGGCGTCACAGCTTCACTCACGAAGATGAGTCAGGTTTTCAGTGCAGAATAACCCACAGCACAGTTCCTGACCCATTTAGACTGTGACACAGCAATGAGAAGTGAAAAATAGCTTTAGAGAATGAAGCAATTCTGTACTATTTGTTTCCTTTCCTCTTCATCCACTATGCTGGGAAAGTTTTAGAAATGCTTAAAACTGCATTTCAGGAGGTGGCCACTATTTTGTGGAAGACAATTTCTTCTTTTACCCTTGGAAAAGAGACACACTTTAGTGACTCTCGAAGTTCTTGATATAAGTTTTGTCTTCTATCTTCCCATTTTTTCCTTTGGTTCTTGTCTTTGGCCTCGAGTTCACCGTTTTTGATCTTGTGGATCCTGGGTTTGTTTTTTTTCTTAATTATAAAATATACATAGCATAAAATTTACCATTTTAACCATTCTCAAGGGTACAATCAGTGGTATTAAGTACATGCACATTGTTGTGTAACTGTATTTTTTATATTTTCTGTACATTATGATGTTTTGACGTGTTAAAACCTTTCTGGCTGGGGTCAGACTGCCCCTCCCTGGGCTGGCCAATTCCTAGAGACGCCCAAGGGCTCACCCAGGAGCAGCTGTTTGATATGCCAACTAACCAGTGCAGAGCTCCTCTATCTGCCCTGCACTCCAGGAGGGAATAGTCCTCTGCCTCCATCATCCCAGGACCTGGTGCCAGGCAACTAGGCACTCCCATAGCTTAGAGCCTGCAGCCATTCCTAACATGTCCACTCCACCTACTTTGCCTTTCCCTCAGAAACTCCAATAAAGGCCGGGCCCAGGCTCTCCCCTCCCTCCTGCCCTACAGCAGGACTCTCCGACCTGGCCCTGTGTGTTGTGCAGTGCCTGCTGTTTCTAGGACCTGTGCATAAAATAAATGTTGTTTTCCTAAGTCTCTTCTGTGCTCCTCTTGCGGCCACACCTGACTCACCATCACATAAAAGAACACAGAATAGAGGGCCAACCCAGTGGTGTAGTGGAACACTCCACTTCAGTGGCCCGGGGTTCACAGGTTTGGATCCTGGACGTGGACCTACATCAAGCCACGCTGTGACATCAAGCCACGCTGTGGTGGCTTCCCACATACAAAACAGAGGAAGACTGGCACGGATGCTAGCTCAGGGACAATCTTTCTCAAGCAAAAAGAGGAAGACTGGCAACAGATGTTAGCTCAGGGACAATCTTCCTCACGAAAAAAAAAAAAAAAAACACAGAATAGCAACCATCACCACCATCCATCTCCAGAACTTTTTTCATCTTCCCAAACTGAAACTCTGTACTCACTAAACAATAACTCCACATTCCCTTCTCCCTCCAGCCAATCCTGTATTTCAACTAAAGGCTGACACAACGGATATAAATCAATTAATTAATAATGTTTCAAAGATATTCTGTAATTCAGCTTCAGAGGCTGGTAAAATTTACATATGTTTTTGTGTAACTACCAATAAACTTGCCATGAGAAAAGTGTCAAGTGCTAATCTCCACAAGTCAAGTGACTCTCGTCCTTGGAGTGGGGTCTCTCTACAGGGCTTTGCTAAGAATACAGAGCTTGGGGGCCAGCCTGGCGGTGCAAGCGGTTAAGTGCAAACACTCCGCTGCGGTGGCCCAGGGTTCGCCAGTTGGGATCCCGGGCGCGCACCGACGCACCGCTTGTTAAGCCATGCTGTGGCGGCGTCCCATATAAAGTAGAGGAAGATGGGCACCGATGTTAGCCCAGGGCCAGTCTTCCTCAGCAAAAAGGAGGATTGGCATCAGATGTTAGCTCAGGGCTGGTCTTCCTCACAAAAACAAACAAACAAACAAACAAACAAAACCCCACAAGAATACAGAGCTTGTCGTGATACCTATAAAGCGGCACAGATGAAAATCAGTATTTTTTGGATTTATCTTCTATAGAATCCCCGCAGCCTCCTGTGGAAAACGTCATTGTGGCACCGGCTGGGTACCGTTTGTTTCAGCTACTTTCCTACCCTAAATACAACCACCTAGTGAGTTCAGAATTTTAGAGCAATGAGAACTTGATCTGGCTGCTCGTTGAAATCACATAAGGAGCGTTAAAAACACAGGTGGCTTGCTCTCTCCCTCAGAGATGCTGATTAATCAATCTGGGCTGTCATGTGGGTGGGGAGTGGGAGCGGTGTCTAAAATCTCCCCAGGGGATTGTACTGTGCAGCCACGGTTGAGAGCCACTGCTGTAGAACCTTACCCAACACCTGAATAGTCAAAAATGATTCCTTTGTCACACTTAAAAACAAAGACACCCTTAGGCCTAGCCAGTCGAGCACATGCTTTGAGCTTCAGGAATTCAGTTCCTGGAATGGACTTTGCTTTGGAAATTGAAGCCTATGGAGATAGCAGCTAGCATTTACTGAAGACCTATGTGTGCACGCAGGGTGCTGAGCAATGTGTCTTGTTCTGTTCAACCCTTACACGAACATGCACAGTGTTATTACCCCAGGCTAGTAAGGCGGAAACCAAGGCTTAGAAGCTCCTTGCCTTGCCCCAAATCTCACTCCGTAAGCAGGGAAGCTGTGGACCACACAGCAGTGAGACCTAAGTCTCCTAGTAGCCGCCGCACAGCTGCTGCCAGCTGTGTAAAAAGCCTGTGATGTCAAGTCGCACGGGAAATGCACCACTCACGGACCGAATTATGGGTCTGTAGGAGACTTCTTTTCAAAGGCACCACAAAGGCTTGTGGGTATCACTGTTCCTGTTTATAGATTTAAAAACCACGACTATATCTAAGTAGCTACATGGCTGTCCTGGGACCTTGCTTTCTCCACACTTTCCACAGCTAAATCGCAGGCATAGGTTGTTACAGG